ATATATATATGTTAGACACTGTGGCACACACCTGAAATCCCAGCACTCTGAGGCTGAAGTAAGTGAACTGCAAGTTCAAGGGTATCCTGAGCAATTTAGCAACTTAGCAAGACTGTCTCAAAAACTAAAAAAGGGAAAAAAAACAAAAAAAAAAAAAAAACTAAAAAGGGGCCAAAGATGTAGTTCAGTATGAAGATCCTGGGTTCAGTCCCTAGTATGAGGAGCAGGGATTGAGAGAGAACATCACAGATAATATCTTTTTGCTTATCTCAATGCCAATCTTCCACATCACAAGTACACCTGAAGCCAGCACAACCTACCTGCTGATGTCTGAGTCTTGTACAGAAAACAGTGGGAACAAAGTGCTGGTTGGAATTTGGTTAGATAAGGCTGTGCCCAGCACTGTGCAACAAAACACAGAAGCTCAGAGATACCCAAGAAGTCTACGTCAGCTGTGTGTGAGTCACTTAGCAGCTGACTGTTGCTAGCCTACTCAGAATTCTGCTGGGTTGAAGTAAATAATAAATTAGCCAACCAATTTCCATCTCTAGGTGCAAGGGCTCAACCTTCGTCAGCCAGGGAAATACAGTCCCACAACACGATATGCTCATCTTCCATCCCTGGAGGCTTCTACACTGCCATTGTAAGGGGCAGCCCACTTGGAGGACTTTACAGAGGAACAGAAGCACAGTAGCACTGACAAATAACAAAGTCATTCACAAAGACACAACTACTAATACTGGCACCATGTCAAGCCAAACTGGGGCAAGAGGAAGCCTTCATTTTCCACCTCAATTGATATATATTTACTGAGCATTTTCTATATAACTCTACCCTCAAACAGGTGCTAAGGGGGAAAAAACAAATGTAAGAAATAGCCCTTGAAAGGAATAGAGGGGGAAAAAAAAACCAATACAGGTTAATGTATTGGTACATGTTCTCTCTGAGATTCCTCTAAGTACCTATTTATACTGTCTTCTCTTTTAGGACATTATAGTGTATGATTTGCTCAGCACAGTCTTTCAGAACCTCTCATCTTCAGATGCACCATCTATACAACAGAATTACAGGAAGATAAATGAAAACAGCAGAGCGCAATACTTGTTATGTGGTAAGCATTCAATAAACGTTACTGACCATTTTGGTTTGTCTACTTCTGTATGTATGTGGTGCTAGGAATTGAACCTAGGGCATCATGCATGCCAGGCAAGTGCTGTAGCACTGAGCTACACCCAGTCCCTGTATTTGCTTTTTTTTTTTTTTTTTTCAGAACCAGGGATTGAACTCAGACCCTTGCCAGGGAAGCACTTATTCTACTGAGCCATCTCCCCGGCCCCTTGTATTTGCATTTTGACTGAGGTTTAGTGATATCTAAAAATGCTCAAAAATAAATAGTAGGGGGTCCAGGGGGATGGCTTAGTGGAATAAGTGCTTCCCTGGCAAGCGCAAGGGCCTGAGTTCAATCCCTGGTTCCACAATAGATAGATAGATAGATAGATAGATAGATAGATAGATAGATAGATAGATAGATAGATAGTAGGGATTGTGCATTTAGCTAAGTGGTACAAAACTTGCCTCAAAGCACATGCAAGGCCCTGTGTTCAATCCCCACTATGAAAAAATTAAAATAAACACCAGAACAAAAAATGAACCATGTCTTGACTCTCACCCAACCAGACACATTTCCTTCTCTTCTGTACAATCCTATACAGTGCGCAGGATAGTCCACAGGAAGCCAAGACTAGTGGGCACCACATAGAGAATGGTATGCAGAAAGGCTTCCTAGAGAAGGACCCTCAACAACAAAAAGGATTCTGGGCTGGAGGAGAGAGAAAGCCTGTAGACTGAGGGACTGACTTGAAAAAGGCAGAAATGGAATGGTTTATAAAGATGTCATGAGGCTGCCCCAACTGTGTGCCCTCTTACCAAGGCGCTAAGGTGAGGTTTGCCAGCTGTGGAGTAAGCCCCACACGAGCCCTCTAAGGATCTGTCCAAAACTGACCTTAATTTGCAGACTTTATAAAACAATAGCTATGGCTGGGTATGGTGGTATACACCCTTAATTCCAGGTAGTCTGGAAGCTGAACCAGAAGGACTCAAATTCAAGGTCAACCTGGACAATTTAGCTAGACCTTGTCTCAAGAAGGAAAGGAAAGGGCTGGGGAGATGGCTCAGTGGACTAAGCGCTTCCCTGGCAAGCGCAAGGGTCTGAGTTCAATCCCTGGTTCCACAAAAAAAAAAGGAGGAAAGGAAAGAGGAAAGGCTTTTTTTTTTTTGACAAGGCTTTTTTGAGACAAGGTTTCACTATGCAATTCAGGTTGTCCTTAAACTCACTAAGTAGCCCAGGCTGGCCTTGAACTTGCAGCAATCCTCCCACCTCAGCCTCAGAAGTGCTGGGATTACATATATACACTACCACTCCTGACTCAAAATTTTTCACAAGGACTGAGGATATGGCTCAGAACTTCATGGGTTCAGTTAAAACAAAACAAAATGCTATGCTCCCAACCCTAGGGATCCCGAGAGCAAAGATATGCTTATGTCCACTCAGTATTCACATGGCAGAGAGAATAGGGTGACGGGCTGCCCATAAGGAGTAAAAGGTCCCATATCTTCTAGACAGCATGGCTATGTTAAGGACATAGCCAGGCACTTAAAGGCTACAGATCCCAGGCTGTCAGCAGGTTAAGTATTGAAAACATGGAATAAGTATGTTGGGCGTACAGGTTACAAACTGCAGGTAATCTTCCTTCTGTTTGTACCTTTCATGATGCATAAGAGTGACTGTGTAAATGATTAAAATATTAGCTATGCTTTATTTGATAATTGTTTATTTTGGAAGAATGTAGTTTTGCTTAAGCAAAAAAGCTTTTTGC